TTACCAGGACCCAGGAATCCCTGCCTGCTCAGTGAGGGATTGAGCCCCGCTTAAAGAGGCAGGGCTGGGGGCAGGGTTCAGGCTGGGGGCAGGATCTGGTTTGGGGACCGGGGCCAGATTCACGGGTCCCTAGTAAGACCAGCACCTGCCAATTATGGGGGGCAGTGCTGTGAGGCTGACCCCTCACACTTACCTGGGGATCTTTCCCGGGTTGTGGGGCCTGAATTATCACCCTTCTTCCACCATTCTGACACTAGAGGACTCCCCAAACCCTCCCACCCCTCCCACCCCACCCCCACACACACAGCATGGGGCCATCAGTGAAGCAGCAACCACAGAGAGGAAGGAGAAGTGAACCTTCTCGGGTCTGGCACACTCAGAGCAGAGCCAGCCCTGGTCACATCCTGCACCTCACACTGTCCTGGTCAGCCCGCAGTGCCCTCTCCCACCAGCTGCTGGGCCCCATGACCCACACCCTCTCTGTCCTGCTGTGCCTCGGTGAGTCTTAAGAAGCCCCCTGTTTGAGCGGACTTTTCACACCATCGAGTCCAACCCGCCCCCACCTCCATGTTGTTGAGGAGGAAAGTCTCCTCCAGAGAAGGGGGGAGACGAGTCTGAGGTCACCCAGCCAGGAGGGGAGGGGGGAGAAGCTGGAGCTCTTAGAGGGGCCATCTGGTGTCCAGCCCTTTTCACTCACACCAGCCCTAAGCCCAGGCTCTGGACCCTCTGTCTCCTTCCTCTGGGGGTGTTGGCTGGGGAAGATGTGGGGAGCTGGGGGTAACCAGGGTCCTCTCTTCCAGGGCTGTGTCTGGGCCAGAGGATGAGGGCAGAGGCAGGTGAGTCCTTCCCCCCACACTCCCCTTGCCTGGAACAGACGGCTACCCCCAGGAGAGGGAGGGGGGCGGTCTGGGCAGGGCTGACAAGGTTTAAAATGAGGGAATGAAGCATGGGGGGCCCACAGAAGGGGGATCCCCTGGATCTGACAGCTCTCATTCACTTCCAGACACAATCCCCAGACCCTCCCTCAGGGCAGAGAACGGCTCATTGGTGCCACTAGGGAGAAGTGTGATCCTCAGGTGCCAGGGGGGATGGGAGGGTGAAGTGTACCGTCTGGAGAAAAAGCTGAGCTCTGACAGGATAATTGATGTGAAATCAAATGAAACGGAGGTCGAGTTTCCCATGCCATCAGTGACAGCGAAAGATGCAGGGACCTACTATTGCCGCTACTTACACTCATCTGGCTGGTCAGAATGCAGTGACCCCCTGGAGCTGGTGGTGACAGGTGAGGAATCCCCCCACCCAGGCCCCTCAGGCAGGGCTGGCTCTGGGTCCCAGCAGCCCCTAAGCTCCTCCCCAGCCCAGCCTGGCCCCAACCATCCCTCTGCCTCTGCCCTTCCTGTCCTGCTCTCCCTCTGGGGCTAGAGGTGGGGGAAGGGAATCAGCATTTGTATAGCGCCTACATTGTGCCAAGCACTTTACAGGCATTATCTCCTTTGATCCTCACAACAGCTCTGTGAGGTAGGTGCTATTATGATCCCAATCTTACAGTAGAGGAAACTGAGGCAAACAGAGAGGAAGTGACTTGCCCAGAATCACATAACTGACAAGTGTCTAAGGCTGGATTTGAACTCAGGTCTTCCTGACTCCAGGCCCAGGGCTCTATCCACTGACCCACCAGCTGCCTCAGTCAGAGCCCATCTTGGGGCCAGAGAGGAGGCAGGAGGCTCAGCTTGGGTCTCAGGTCACAAGACAGAGCTGGTAGCTCCCTGGGGAGGGGGCACAGGGCTGCTGGGGCATCTCCCCCTCCCAGCCCTGACCCTCCCAAAGCCAGGAGAGGCAGTGCAGGGTGGACCTGCTGCTGCTCTGTTCCCTCTCCCAGCTCAGGCCTAGGCACAGGGAGGGGAGGGGAGGGGAGCGGTGTCTCCTCTGTCTATCCCCAAGGATTTTCTGTACAGGAAGGTTTAGGAGGCGAGGATGGAAGTGAAGCACAAATCTCAACCAAGCCTCCTACTCTCCTTCCCACACCTGCCCCAGGGACCCACCCATGGTCCAGGATGAGAGCCAGCCTCGCTTTGGGGAGCTCAGAACTACCCCAAACTGCAGAGAGGGGTCTTAAATATGCCTCCACCCCCAATGTCTGTGGAGAGACATTCTGGGAGAAAGGACCAGGGATTGGGGCTCCCAGTCCCGGGCCAGGGAGGAAGACGCCCTGTCTATGCTTCCCTCCCCCACACCGACCCCCATTTGTCTCTCTGTCTCTCTGTCTCCCCTCACAACATCTCTGTCTCTGTCTGTCTCTCTCTCTCTCTCTCTCTTCACTCACCCACTTTCCATTTCCCTCTAGAGCTGTCCAAGGTCCTTCCTCTCCCTCCCCAAAGCTATGCTATTACCATTTTTGTATAGATGACCTAAATCTCCACACCCAGGCAGGGGTCTAGGAAGGCCCAGGCCAGTTCTTTCACCAACCCAATATGGTCCCATATGCTGAAAGAGGGGACTTACAGCCCTGACTCCAGGCTCTCCTCTTCCTCCTCCCCCAGGCGTGTATGACCCACCCTCTCTCTCAGCCCTGCCCAACTCTTCAGTGGCCTCAGGACACAACGTGACCCTCCAGTGTCAGTCACAGCAAT